ATATTGAATATCCGCCGGACGCGAAGCGCTCGTGGCGTTTTCTTTCTATTATTACCATCAGACGAAAACGATTTTACGAGTAATATACGAGTTTATTATTATTATTTTTTTTTTTTCTGCGTCGTCGGACGTGTTCCCGAATAAATAGGACAAAACGTTAATGTTGTTTTTCCGTCCGTTATCGCGTCACGGTTTCGACCTCAGCGGAACATAACATTGTTTACTCGCTCCGATCGCACGCGTAAAACACCGAATGATGAGGTTCCGGATAGCATTTTTAAAAATTTTTTTTTTTTTTCCATTTTGACGGTGCGTTAGGAAAGAGAGGTATTCGGTTAGGTTTTCTACGTAATTTATTTTAAAAACAATGTTGAGACTTATTTCGATTGTGCCTTTGTTTTAAGAGGGAAGGTACCTACCCATAATAATTATATACCGAGTGTCCCACGATGATCCGACACTTGAAACAACTTTTGTTCCATTCGATAGTTTTTTTTTTTTTTAAATAATTATATGTCTCTGGTACTATAAGGAAGTCACATTTTTATTTTCCCAGGAGTTTTCTAAATAAATTTGAAAAACCAGGGAAAAACGTAGGAAAAACGGGAAAATAGGTACAATATTAAACAAATATTATTAATGAAAATATATAATGTAATTTATTTTACAATAATTAAATACGACATAGATGTATATTGTTGACAAAGCAACACTATCAACCGAACTTCGCTCTGCAGAATCATTTTTTCGTTAGCAATGGTTTATTGTTCCTTACAGACATACATTAAACTTTTTACTACCTTCCCAACTTCTCATCTATAACAGTGGCTGTACCCATCCCCGTTATCCTTGGACAGCTTTTGTTTATTAACTTTTGATTTATTTTCAATTTCATCGAAAAAATAAAAAAAGGATAAGTTGCATTTAACCTAAAACCAATCGACCGACCACCGCTCAGAATCGTTTTATTTGCAAAATACAAAATTGAAGTACCCATTCCCAAATATATACCCTCCTAACAAACAATGGCCTACCCACGATAGTCGATAGTGTGAAATATGCATGCTGGTATTGTTTTTGTATACTGGGTGATTCATTAAAATGGGTACACTGAAATTTTTGATTTCCGTCTATCCGTTGACGAGATATTTCACTTTTAAGTTTTGGGTTGGAGGAAAGCGGTGGTGCGTTATTAACACGACACGCGCCGTACCGCTACACAAATGATACTCCACTACTCTCCTCCAACCCGAACTTAAAAATGAAATATCTCGTCAATGGCCTGACAGAAATCAAAAATTTGAACACTCAAATTTATTTTAACTAATATTCTATCTATTAATGGATATTTTATTATAGGTTGCAGTAAAAGTACTGCAAAAGTAGATAATGGTTTTACCCCCAAAAATAAGAGTGACAAAATATAACGTACATATAAAATTGTTGAGCAGCTTGTTACTTAAATGTTCTAGAAAATAAATTTCGGAAAAAGTTAATAAATTCCGAGATAATGAGTGTACCCACTTAAATGAATCACCCGGTGTAATATTTAGGAACGTTATAAAATCCGTTTTTCGATAAAACGCATTAAACATTATGTCATAAATACTCCCCCTACCTCAAAAAAAACAAACCGATTCAATTGATTTTTACATGATAGTTACCGAAAAACTCGCAACTTTTTTGCGACCGGTATAAAAATGTCCTTTCTAATGGAATAAAAAAAACCATACGTTGGAATGTTATTATATTTTATACGTGGCATCAGTGCGGTGTCTGTTATTCATTTATCAGTCTGTATTATTAAAAACTCTGAACCGGACACGCCCTTTAATTATTATTATATACGATGAAAGTGTACAATTTTTATCAAAGGTCAATGAGAGAAACTCGTATGGAGGCTTAGAGTTATACCAGGGTGTATTTTTTTTGTGTCTGTAAATAATTTTTCTACTAAAAATCTCACACCAATAAAAAAATTAAAATTGTACAATATTTTTTTGTTCAATTTCGTGCATCGAGGTGGTCATTTTTTGATTTCCCTTGCAGATTTCTTAATAAATGGAAAAAACTGGCAATTTTTTTCATTTTCGGATTACCTTGGTAAATAATAAGGGAAAAAATATGACTTAAAATACTCCGCTTTCTTTATCAATAGTTTACTGTTTGCGTACACAGATATAAAATAAATTACTCTATATATTATAATATATTCTCCCTTCTAAAACAGTAATACACTCGTCAATTGTATCAGCTTTTTTTTAACTTGATTTTCAGTATTATAGGATACTCTATCGGTTGAAATTCGTCTAAAAATCAGGTTTAAAATTCGTTCCATGTCCAATTAAATTCTCGTATACTCCAATTTTTTTAAAAACGTTCTTGTTATTCTTTTTAAGAAAATAAAGATATATATATATATATATATATACATTTTTCATGGTCGCTCTACTTAGGTAAATTCACTTCCGTTACCTTATTATATTGTTTAAAAAAAAAGAATTTTCTAACATTCTCTTTGTCCGTAAAGCGTTCTAGCTCTATCTGCAATATTTAAATTCGATTTTTGCGTATTTCACGTTAAATCCTGCAGGGCGCAACTGCAATCGTAATCGGTGCTCGTACCATATTTGATATAAATCAATAGGTAAATGCGATATAAGAAAAAAAAAAAAAAAAAAAAACCAGACATTTCGAGAAGAAAAAGTGAAAAATTACAGTCTAGTCGCCTAATGGGGCGTCTAATATTTGTGCCGACCGTAATAAATGGATGTCGGATCTCCACCCTTGTAGGTATTATAGTACGTGACTCATCGCATATTATTTGTATTGTTTGCGGGCCGCATCACGAGAATAACACGGGGAAAATAAGATCGGCTGGGAAAATAAAATATCTGCACGTCATTTGGCGCGGCGTTTCGGTCGAATGTTGTTATGTCAAAAGGTTGATTTCTTTTCTTTTTCTTTTTTTTCCCCCCGTCGCCTGTGTCGGATCCCACACAAACGACCCCTCGTTGTTGTCTATACACAATATGCATTACCTATGTATAAACACACATCACGCCCACGCCGCGATACTAGTGTAATAAATTAATCTCGTACACTATCTATCTATTGTACGTTATCATCTCGTTGCTTCGCCGCGCCGAGAAAAAAACGCGCATTCTTCTCTCGCTCCCCTAACCCTCTCCTCCGTCGCCGTTACTATTCCGACATCCTCTTGCGACAATAACGCGCGCGCGGTGCGATTTCAACGCAAACACCGTCGGCCGCGGCGCGTTTCGCGTCCAAACGTTTCCCATAATGTTACACACAATAAACACATTGTGTTGCCCGCATGACATTAAACGTCATAATGGCGATTCGCATTTCCGGGCGGCTACGGCCGGGCGACGATCCAAACGGCGCGCGGCGGGACCGCGAGTGGGAGGTAGGTGGGAGTGAGGTGGGGCGGGTAGGGTAGGGGTGGAAGGGGTACAATTCGACGTTATCATAATAGCCGAACGGTACATAAAACTGGGCGTCGTGCAATATAATACTTATCGTACGTTATACCGTATTATTATTATTATTGCTGTTGTTGTTGTTGTTGTTGTTGTTATGGTCGTAAACGTTAAGCGTGGAAAAACGGTCCGATCGGGCGATAAATCACCGCGATTATTACACCTATACACACATGTGTACGCGCGCGCGCGCGCGCGCACATAATAGACGAAAAAGAAACGGGTCGTCCGGTCCCGATAAGGGTACCCCGGTATTATACGAACGTGTCGCACGACACGGTTTTATCTTCATTATTGTCACGCGCCCCTCGCGTAAGCACGTCGCGCGCTCTCATTATCGCGCGTTATTATTGTCCGCCGGAGAAACGGACCGCCTCGTCCGCCGTATTTGTGTGTGTTTTTTTCCTCTCTCTCTCTCTCTCTCTCTCTCTTCACGCGGACTTTGTTGTTTCGTTTTCGCCGCGTCCTACTGCTCCCGTCCATCCGCCGGCCGCGGACCGGTCGTAATTTTTCCCCCTAACCGATTTATCGGGTAGGTGTGCATTTGTCGCACACCTACCCGATTGCACGGCTATTGCGACAACAATGGGCGGCGCGGCACCGTCGCCGCGAATTTCCGAACGCCATTGCATTTTCCATTCGATATCGCGGCGGACCGGAAAACTGCGCGATCTCGGGAGACACCGGACGGCGATTTATACAGTCACGGCGTTTTGCGTTAATCTGGCCAAATGCCACTCGCTCGCTGATCGCTATACCTCAAAAACCTCTACACAACCTACGGACTTAAAATTTGGAACAGACGTCCCTCTAACACTCTTAATGTGCCATAAGAAATGATTTTTTTTAAAAAAAAAACACTGAGTTTAGGTGGGTTAACTAATAATAATAATTCATCCCCAATACGTATTAACAATAATCGGCAAATACGCACGTAAAAGTATACTATTAAGGTATTATTTGATTATTGTTATCGATAACCACAGTAACACGGATGAAATAAAAACAAATTTAATTGTTGGTAACATAGATGAAAAAAAAAAAATAATTGAATCATAAAATAACATTAAAAATATTATTTTTATTGCAAAACATAAATGACGCAGGGTAATACAGCTAGTAATATTAAGTGGTAAATATTATTATAATACAACTGAATGCAGTCACCTTGGTCAGACAAATGTGTTTTAAGAAAATAAATCAAAATATAATATTTTAAAAAAGTATCATGTATTCCAAATGCAATTAAAGTACGGATCATTGTACACGTTTTACTTTCGGTGTGGATCCCCTTAAGATTTCCTATAATAGAATAACCTCATCGTAAAATAATTTTAATTGCATAAGTATGATATCCCAGTTTTTACAAGTTCGTAGTTTAAATGTTTTTATCTACAGTGTTACACAAATATTATTGCTATGCATAAAGATTTTTTTTAAAGATTGATTTTTCAGACGATTAAATGATAATCCAAGTATACTTACATGATACACCTGCTACCTAGTATCAGTTATAATATTGTCATATATATTATTTTTCTTAAATATACCACTCTCTGGTTTCTGTATGGTATGCGACTTTACGTGTCGCTTCAAATTAGAATTTTGCCTAAATAATTGTTTACAATATGTACATTTGTAAGGCTTTTCTCCTGTATGAATCGCCGTATGCCTTTGTAAATTGGACAATCGAGCAAATGACAATCCACATGAATCACATTTATAAGGCTTTTCGCCAGTATGAACCATTGTATGCCTTTTTAAATTGGACAATTGAGCAAATGATAATTCACAAGAACCGCATTTATGAGGCTTTTCACCAGTATGTATCCTTATATGTTCTTTTAAATACGAATTTTGCCTAAATAATTGTTTACAATAATTACATTTGTAAGGCTTTTCTCCTGTATGAATCATTGTATGCCTTTGTAAATTGTACAATCGAGCAAATGATAATTCACATGAATCACATTTATAAGGCTTTTCACCAGCATGAATCATCTTATGCCTTTTTAAATTGGACAATTGAGCAAATGATATTTCACAAGAACCACTTTTAAATGGTTTCTCACTGGTATCAGTTCTTGTGTATTTTGTCAAATAAGTTTTCTGTCTAAATTTTTTGATGTACTGAAAAGGTTCCATATGCTTTAAGAGGTATAGATTTTCTTCAGAATGAGTTTTCATGTGGCGTTTTAGAGTATTTGCTTGAGTTGGATGTTTTGTTTTTTTATATAAGACTAATTCCATAGGATCATTTTCAATAGTTATTACATTTTCAAATGTACAATTGTTTTTTAAATCAAATTCTTTTTTTATTTCAATTCTTTGATTATTTGATTGTACTATTTTTTCTATGGAGTGTTTTATGTATCTGAAAATGCCATAACCATAATTCATAATTTATATAAATTACTTTAAAATGGAAACTATATAAAGTGTAATTATCAGTAAGTAAATAGGTATAACAAAAATTATAACTTATATTTATTAAACTCTATTATCACATGCACCCTTATTTATTTGTTTACTGTCATGAATGCCCATCAGGTGATAGAGATATTGGACCACTTTGAGAAGTTCTGCTATAGAATTAATATATATATTAATTACAAGTTGACTACTTATATAGGCATAAGAAATTAAATATTCCCAAAAGTTTGTATGTTTATTCTTCTTTACACACAAATATTGAAAAAGATTGCTGAAAAAATTGTAAAAGGACATCTTCTCATTTATCACTCAAAGCAAAATTTAAGATTTTTTTTGTAAAGACCTCACTTTCTCTGACAACACTGATTTTAAAAACATATGGATATTACACTGACATCTTAAATTAATCAAACACAAAATATTGGTACAGTGAAAAATTAGATACATTTTTAACTAGTATAATTAATTTGCGATTAATTATCTAAATAATTTCAATTATATGTTACAGATAAAATATGAACAACTGATAATGTATACATTACTAGCTGAGTATATAGTTTGCAATTAACATTTAATTATGGGATAATATTAGTTGTGTTCTGCTAACTTTAAGGTCACATCTAATTCAGAATAACAGAATTTACAGATTCAATTTGGTATAATTTATTTAAATTGAACTTATGAAGTAAAAGCAATTAAAAAAAAAAAAAAAAACTCACTGTATGGGTTGGTTTTCATTATTGTCTTTTCTTCCAGTGTGCATGTTCATTGCTCATATGGGATTTCAAATTTGTATTTGAAAAAAAATGAATTTGTCGTATGTCTGTTTCGGAGTTACTAATATATCTGAAAAATCTTAAAAATCATAATAATTAGTTATAATCAAATAAATACATTACTATTAAAGGTTAATACAATAAAATGTATTATGTAGGTACTAAATATATGTATAATGTAGAATACAACAAAAATCTGGTAGAGAAAGGAGGGGGTCATAATATGATAAATAGTAAATTCTAACAAAATTTACATATTTTTGAAATAGAAAAAGAAGTTTAGGCTCCAACAAACTGTAAAACGTATCTATTTGAATTTGGCAATATTCTGAAGTGAACAGAATGTAATTTTATGGTTTTAAAAATGGCAAAATAAAGATTTTTAAAAAAAAAATGTACAAAATAATTAAGAACAATTTAAATGTTTAAGTTTATATGACTAATAATAAGTATGTAAATAAAACAAAATACAAACAGCTACATCAAGTGTACATTTTTCGTTAAAACATAAAGGTCCTTCCAATATAGTGAATGCCTTGTTTTACTCTATGTAACTTATATAGTATATACCTATTTATACAACGTGTTTCTAATTATTTTCTGATGATGATTTTATTTCTGAAACCGGTTATAATAATATGTAAATAATAAATATTAATTAAATAACATTTACCTACAAAAAGTTGTGTTGTTATTTTACATCATATAGGTACCCAATATACATCTACATTTTTATTTCGTAAATACACATTTTTTAATAAGAACAAAATCAATAGAATGGAGTCGGAAATATTGCATTTTAGAATATTATTGTACGAATGTTAATAACATTTATTAGGTAATTATTTAAAGTTCATAAGTTTATAAATTATTCCATGTGGCGAGGAGGGGTGTACAAGTTTTCAAATACCCCCTCCACCCTTTGGTCAAATTTATGATAACAATTTTAATTTTTAATATATACAGTTGTGTATCAAATTTCTATAAGATGGTTATACAACAAGTGTATGTTATGTGTGATATATGTTATATTCACACAATAAAGTTACTAAGTTACATCTAAACTTAAAATAAAAACACTCACCTTAAAAAAAATTGTGGCTACCCCACTGCCTGTAATATGTATTGAACAAGAAAATACAAGTAGGTAATTTATAACTATTATATTATTTTAATTTATCTATCCATAACATCTTATTGTAAAAAAAATGTATAGATTGTATGCACTTAATTTCATAAAGGTTAAAAAAAAAAAATGTAATTTTAAACAAATTCAACAATACTATCCCTTTTACAATAAGAATGTGGTTAGGTTAGGTATTATAATAAAATACTAGTAGTTATTTTTAATTGTTACACTCATTATTTCGAAAAGTAGATATTGACTATTTTTTTGAAAATTTAAGGAACAAGCTTTTTTAAAATTTAACGTTTACCTTATTTTTTGTCACCTACTTTCAAAGATGGATGAGTGACAAAAGAATAACGTAAATGTAAAATTGTAGAGCTGCTTGTTTGCTTAAATTGTCTATTAAACAGATTCAGGAAAAAATTGATACATTCGAGATAATGAGTGTTTAACGATAAAAGAATCTGGGTGATTGTCCATTGAACATTAAACATCATCTCATTGTTTAATATTATACCTGTACCTATTACCAACATTATTGGTTAGGTAAATAACCTAATAATATTATTACATCTACGTAGGTGTATTTACGTAGGTGTATAATACCTAAATAGGTACTTACGCATTAATATAATATACCTATGTCTTTATCCACTTATAATAAAATATTTAATACATTTGCTCACTTCAAATTCGTTAAAAATGTTCGATGTGATCAACTTCCATAATAAATATTGCATTAAACAATTATATAAATAATTAAATTAAAATTAAAATTAAAAATGTAATGTTACCACGGCCATAGCCGTCTACGACAGACGACGAAAAAATCTATAAGAAACAACCATAGACATATAAAACAAATAATTTATGTGTCTATGGAAAAAACCAAACAAACTGATATATTATTGATATTATAATTTTGGAGGTTATAAGATAACCATGATTAACTATGATGAAGACTTTAGGTCAGACCTTATAGACAAGAAACACGCATTAACCACGTGAAAACCATAGAGCATTACTAAGGCGGCGTTACCTATTGAAACTGTATTATTAAAGGGATACCGAACTAGCGGTTATTGAGCTTAATAAAAAGTCTATTGGTTATGCTGTATACCGCTAGATGGCAATTTTCAAATATTGTTACTCTATGGTTTAAATTTAGCACCATTTACAAAAGTTAATGCTTCATGTTTATTTATTATTTATTAATAATATCGTTAAAAAATGATAAGCTGTTTTATATGTGACAAAAAAAAAAAAACTACCAAATCAAAATCTGAAAACATCAGTTTTCACAAATAAGTTGTACTATGAAGCAATATTAGAATTTTGTAATACCATAATTTACAACATAAACCACATAAACCACCGAGCTCTGTTCAGAATCGTTTTTCGTTAACAACGATTAATCTTTGCTTTCAGATGTACATTAAATTTCCCTCCGTGTCCTACCTTCTCAACTTCTTATCTACAACAGTGATCCGTTCATCGTGCGAAGTGTGAGTCAATCGTTAATGTTAAATTGAATTATTTCGCGCCCCCGTACCGGACACAAATACGCGAGTGCCAGTAATCCGACGTTAGCCGAGAGAGTACTGCGTGCACTCGCGCTGCCTCATCTCGCCGAGTTCGTCTCGGCGAATGCGTATACTGCCGGCATTATGGGCATTAGGTGACCGGACGTACTCTTTTCCGTAGGACAGCGCTCTTTTCTTTTGATGCGTTGTCCCATGCCCTCAACAATAGTGTTAAGTCCGTGAAATCGTACTCTTTTGTTTTGAAAATATTAGGGCTAACGCACGTTTATGATTTTGCATATAGCGACCGGTGGAGGACCGCTGCGGTTTGACGGCAAAAAAAAAAAAACCGTCGTTAACCTTAACACCATAATAACCGCCGACGATTATGGTTTTACGTAGTTTCTACAGTCGATAATAGAAAAAAAAATATTAATAATACAGAAATCGGATAAAAAAAAAATGTATACACCACAGTCACGGAGATGGGTGACGGGCGAAACGGGCAGAATGGTACGAGCACGCGGAGGGTTTACATTTCAGAATGTGTTTATTTTGTTTTCAGATCTGTACAGCATCCGGTCACCATAATTATTATTACAGGTAACGCGCGAGTTTCGTACGCGGCGTCGTCGGCGCGGACACGTTGTACGAGCGCCCGCGGGATTATTTTTTTTTTTTTTTTTTTTTTTTTTTATACAAGGCCCCGCGCGCGTATCAATAGCATCGAAACGCGGAAGAAAAATTACTCAGGCAATAATATTACCGCGGGTACCGGGAGTTACCGCGCCCGGTATATTGTACGGACGCGCACGGTTTTATTGTGCTGCTCGCGTACATTAATAACATTTCGTATTGTCGCGTCGCGTGTATAATATTATATAGGTTACAGGTATGCCGTGCGCGCGCCCGCGCGCGTGTGCGTGTGTCTGGGTGTGCGTGTGTCTGGGTGTGCGTGTGTCTGCGTGTGCGTGCGCGTGTGTGTGTGTGCGTGCGTGTGCGCGTGTGTGCGTGCGTGTGCGCGTGTGTGCGTGCGCGCGGATCCTTTCGAGACGCATCACCCGTACGGGTTGTTGTCCGCGGGTGGTGCGTTAAATTGTTTGCTTTGATCCCGACCTCGCGGCGTCGGCGCATAATCGGTCTCCGCGGCCGAGAGGCGCGAGCGGGCCCAGTGTTCGACGGCGTCGTGTCGTCGTCGGTGCCGCAGTGAAATACTTAAAATTAATACCCGGGTACATACGCGGACGCGATTCGTTTTGAAAGTGTTTGGCGCGCGGACACGAGCACACCCATTTTACACATTTTCAGATAGATTTACGAAAACGGATCATTTTTTTTTTTTTTTAAATATTTAATTCGATTAAAACTATAGAATTACAAAATTATAACAAAACGAGTAATGGGTACATGGTGTATCGTACAATAGTTTATCGACCCACAGTTTTGTGTCGGCTTTCAAAAATAATTTTATTCTCATAAAGTTATAAGTTATACTTTTTTTATACGACCATCGTCAGTTATAATACATAATGTACAACAGTATTAAAATGTCGGTTGATTATTGGTAAACGTAAAATAAATAATGGTTATTATCCGCTTGTCAATACACAATAGCCATGTACCCGCATACATAATAATTTATAATAATAAAGAAATCGGAAAATTACACACATCAACAATAAATTGTTGATATTTTTGTTTAAACAAAATTATAACTTAGAATTGTACGTTTTATTTTTGCATTTTTTCGAACCGAAACAGTAAGAATCGTATCTTAAAATGTATCTTAGATACTTTCATTAAAATACACAATATTTTGTATCAGATTTAAGATATATATACAGATAAATTTATTTAGAAAGTATGTAGATACAGATACAAGATACAAAAGAGTATCTAGATGCTGTATCTTAGATCAGGTTCTAAAATTGTGTGCAGAAGCAAATTTAAAAGCGTGCAGTACTTATTTTAGGCTTATATACATTTTTATTTGACTAAAATCCAATATTGATTATTGAAAAAAATTAAAATTACTAATTAGCATATATTCTATTCAAAACACTAAAGATAACACCGACTACACCGTCTGAGCGGCGCCGATAACGAATTTCGTCTTTTTTGTCTTGTTTGTTTAAAGTCAACATTCATTCAGTAGTTTTATATCGGTTTAAAGAAAATAATAGGCACGCTATGGCACAGCCTTATGCTGTTAAACAAGAATCGTTTCAAGAGGTTTTCTCTGAAGCTGAAGCCTCAAAAAGTATTTCTTTTGCCGAGAATAATAGTACCACCATCACAACTCTCATCGTATCGGGGCCTGATTAACCAATAGGCTGAAAAGGCTGCAGCCTAGGGTGCCATTAAACGGGGTGGAGGGGCCCTACAAAACAATTTTTTTTTCAACTTGTATCTCTAATTAACAATGACCATAGGGTTAGCCGGACCTATTTTGGGAGGCATGGACGAATTTATAGGGAAGGACTGAGGATTTGATGGGTGATGAGCAAAAAAACCGTCAAAATCCCGTCATCAAATTTGACGGCGAATCTATTAATCAGGCCCAACCAAACTTAAATTCGGAACGTCTCGCAGACGGAAATCAAAAATATCAACAGCAGTTCCCCCCCTCCCATATGTTTTCCACTTATCTATAATAATTATATTATAAACATATATTTTAATAAAATCATGATTATTTTATAACGGCTCGCCCGCTCATGATCACCATTCCACTGCATTATACGCTACAATGAGAATAATAAAACACCTTATAACTTAATACCTTTAAGTTGCGTATTATATCGTTTATGGCAGAATGCTGTCAATTTTAAAATTTTAAGCACGGCGACATATCGTCGTAAACGGAAAATAATAATAACGTAGACTTATCACGCCCAATATTTCGGTTATAACGGTCGTAGAAATGTCAGGAAAAAAAAAAAAAAAAATGCTGAAAAATATCAAACAAACACGTAGACAATAACGAACTGAATATGGTAGTGGCAAATCCGAAATCCAAAAATGTAGCGAGGTATGACAACAGGGAATAGAGTACAATCGAATAATGGTATCAGCTCCTGTTTATTTTTCTTCAGTGTTTGAAATCTGAATTGTTGTACTGTTCGCCGAAAACAATTAGCATCTATCGTTAGCGATGATAATATAATTACTGCGTCTTATCGAGAAGAAACGTTTTTGAATAAGCGACGATGAATTCGTCGATTGGATATACATGTCTGTAACAATAATTGAAGGCACCGGCGCAACAACGAAATACGCCCGAAACGTATTTGGTTATTGCACCGAATATGTTATGGGTCAGTGCTTCCCAACATTTTTCGATTCGTGGCTTCCTATTTGAACTACGGTTTTCTCCGGGCGCCCTCGCAGTTTATCGCAATCAAAAAGCTATTCTGAGTAATGTTTGTCCCGCTGTACAACCAATAAGGTAAATAAAACCGACCCGCCAACAATTGTTGTTATCTCTTTTTTAATTGTACAGAAAAAAAATGTCGGGAATTTAGAATTGTTTTTTTTTTTTTTAATCAAGTACTATACTGAACATCCACAGACGTATTTCGACGTAATGCGCGACAGATTTGCAGCATTTTTACTAACCGAACAAAATGTCTTTTGAGAAGAATCCCCAACAAAAGGACGCCGCGTCCCGCCGGCCCCACCGTTTCGCTGTTTTCGCTTTGGATTTCAAATTTATTTTTTAGACAAGTGAATATTCAAAACGGTGACGCGGCGCCCCTGTGCAGACACCGAGACACTCCAGTGCGCCGCGGCGCACACTTCGCGAACCGCTGTCATAGGTAATACATTAATGAATAAGACATATTGAAGAAATATAGAGTGGTTCGTGACATATTTCGCGTTCATACGTTTCTTTTATTTATTTACGTCATCGCTCCTTTTATAAAATTGCAAAATCAATGGCACAATATCGATAGTCCACTAGACAGTTACATTAATTACAGTGTCTTAGACGCACATATAATTCACTGGCTATTAAACGAAACGCAAATCGCGCACAAACATTATTTCGGTCTTGTTACCGAATCCGTACATTGCATACCGCGCGTCAATGCGCGGACAAAAACAAATTATAAATATTGTGTGGGTCGATTCGTTGCTAAAAAAAAAAAAAAAAAAAAAAAAATACGTCCGGACGTGTTTCGGTGTTGTCGCACCGGACAGTGTGAACGGTATGATCGCTTAAAGCAGCGGTTCCCGACCCATGGGCCGCGAGCCATAGGTGTAATATTAAATATTATATATATTTAAAATAATATTATTATATATTTTTTGTTATATTTCTAATCATAATAATATTTAATCAATTTTAACTATAGTGTACAGTAAGTGTACAATTAACGATACGATATCGAATGTTTGAATGTAGTTTTATCTTGTACAGTTCGTTGATTATTAATAGGTTCTTGTTATCTGTCATTAGTCTGTCATCTGTTTTTAGAAACTACTTCCCTAAAATTGAAGAGGAATTCCAATGGATCGGAAATCCCTTCGAAGAAGATTACTTGAAAAAATTGAAAATATCAGCGAGTGAAGAAGATTCGTTGATTGAAATGTCACGTGATCAGACTTTAAAATCGTATTTTAAAAGTACACAATTAGTGCCATTCTGGTTAAACGTCCGGCAAGACTATCCAGCAATCGCTAAAATTGCACTGAGAAACTTGATGGGCTTTTCGACAACTTATTTATGTGAACGTGCTTTTTCGACTTTAATTTATTTAAAAAATAAATATAGGAATAAACCGAATGTTGAGAGCGATTTAAGACTAAAACTGACAAGTTTTAATCCAGATATTGACTTTCTCGTGAAGAACAAGCAATGTCAAAGATCACATTAAATTGTTTATCTCGTGATAAAGTTGAATTAAGTTTTTTTTTAATTTTTAAAATGTTTTATTCCTAATAACTATATATATATACATGTATATATGTATATAATATATATTATATATTATAATTTTATGAAAACGTATATAGGTATGCTATGGGTGGGCCTCAAATATTTTTTTACAAAATTAGCGGTCTGCGAAACTAAACAGGTTGGGAACCGCCGGCTTAGAGGATGTGCTCGCCGCGCCGACATCGTTTTGCGAATTCCGCTCCCGGCAACAGTTCGACGGGACAGGGGCATTTCCGGAAATCTCGGACGCGTCTCGTCGCTGCGCTCAAATCACGGGCGTTCGACGACCGCACGGTCGGCGATTTTCACCCCGGGACGTTCCCGACGTTTCCCCCCCCCCCCCCGAGGCTCGTTACGACGACACAACGTAACGCGGTCCGCGCGCTGAACCGGACCGAACGCGCCCGTTCCTTTGTGCGGCGTTCCGCGTTCCGACATTTCGACGACGGCGTGTACCCCGCGCATTGCGACAACGTCATTGTTATTTGCCTTTACGCGTCGCGCGAGACCGCGAGCGGACCGATCGCGGTGCGTGCGCGTGGGGCGTGTTTTTATTATTGCATTACCGCGAACTGCACAGCCGACGGTTCGTGACGATACCGACACCGGTGACCGTGTGACGGGAAAAGTCACTTTCGGCCGCGTGTGTTTTTTCCCGTCTTCTTCGTTTTCCCGCGAGTGTCGTTTATCGAACCCGGCGGTCCCGAACCCCGGACGTTTCGCGGCGCGTCGACATTTCGGGCGCTATCAGTTTTCAAACAGCAATCGACCGCCGTCGCGCCGTACCGCGCACAGTTCACGGGCGACGTACAGAATCCTTTTTTTTTTTATTTCATCGCGGCGTTTCGCGTTTCGTATTTCGACTGCGGCGCGCTCGGCGCCGGCGCGCTTTCGGGAGTGCGCGAAACGCAACGCGAAAACGAACTCGAATCCGCGATCTGCGCGCGACACCGTAAAACCCGATAGCCCAGAAAATGCGCCCGCGGCGCGTTCTCCGTACGGCCGCGTCGTATACAATGGTGAAACGTAGAAAATATGACCGCGGACAGTACACGACGTGCGTGAACCGGGGGTTCTTAAGACCTTCTTCGGTCCGGCTGCCCCTCGCCGAGACGCCAATGACTGCTGATAACGCGTTCCCCTATCGCCGAACGAAAATGGCGGGATAGCGGGGGCGGGGGGTCGTATATTATAAATTCAAATGGCGATTGTCCGCACCTACTGCCCTGCGCCTGAGAGACGGATATTGTTCCGCGGGACGGGACGGGGTACCCGCACCCGCCGAGAACCGCTGATATTTAAACGATCCCGCATAACGCAATATTTAGGCTGGTATGTAACAACGGCTGAAGAAAAAAAGGAAAAAAATTGAATTTCGGCGCACGATTAAATTATCACCCTGTGTTGTACACTGCCTACACATATTATTGTTAAGTATTATACAGTTTTGTGCCGCGTCGGTGTTTTAATGGAATTTCGCGCCGGTGTCCGAATATAGTGTGTACGATATTATAAAACTCGTCCGAACAACAATAATAATAATAGTGCATAAATAGTCTGCCGCCCCCGAGGCTCGACGCCGCGCCGTGACTGATGTTTCCCCCCCCCCCACCCGTGTTGTCCGTGCCGTATGTATAGAAAATGACACGTTATAATGGAGGTGGACCCGAGCGTATAGGCAGGTACATAAAGGGCCGAGCACACTGGGTCCGTTCGGTTCGGCCCGGTTGAATATCATCGTTTTGAGCGTGCGAAAATATGACGAGTTGCATACACGCATCCACACGGGTACCCGGAATAGAATCACGGGAAACAATAGCCCCGATTTACGAAAACGTTTTTTTAAAAATATTTTATATTAAACACGGTTTTTTTTCCGCGTTCGAACAACATTGTCCGTCGACTTGTACAATATCTAAAACAGTCTGCGTGTTACGGTCGTCTCGGATAATGGGTTTGGCGAGAAAAATGCCGTCAGGAAATTGCATATTAATATAATGTTACCGTGGTGAAATTGTTAACACTAAATGCTGAAACCGTAAATGGAGAAGAGTGAGGTGTTTCAAATTTTCTCCAGTATAACTAATAATTTTTGGGTTTTTTTTTTTTTTTTTAGCATTTTAAGACTTTTCCACAAACTAACACGCTGTTCGGTATCGATTTAACGGAAATGTGTACGGTCGTTTTTACCGACGAATATGACGTTTTGGTAAACGGAAAATTGGTACGGTCTATAGGCGGAACATCGGCACTATAGAATATTTTATTTTCAGTGGTTCGAAAAATGTGTCCAAAATTAAATTAAATAAAAATGCATAAGACGTTATTATAGTTACAACAATAGTTTTCTTATGATATTAATTTCAAGTTCAAATGAAAAAGTTGAAAAAGTTCATAGTTTAAAAAATACGTTGAAATTTAAATTAAATATAAATTCACAATGTTTAATAATAGGCAGTTACAATAGTTTCTCTATGGTGGGTTTATAATTATAGCGATATTATTAAAAATCCCAGTTTTATACGCACTCTCGTCTTCGGTCTTGAATTTGCCTATTTGTCGAGAGTTCGGGTGTCCGACGTTCGTGTGCCGTTTTATTTAATTCTTCGTAGACGAGATAAAAATACCACGCAGTGTACATATACATTATGGTTTTTCTATTTTTTATTAAGTGTAAAAAACCCCGATTTCTAACGATCGTACCGATATTCCGCGTTCAAAACAACCGTACCAATGTCCCGTCGTAATCGACGTCTGAAACCGATAACCGAGTGTTGTCGTATCAGTTTTTCGATTGGGACGCAAACATTTGAGTCGGGCAAATTTTCCCGAACAATTCTCCCGGTTTTCCTTTGTGATTTCTTTTCGGTGTTTCGCATTCGCCGAGATAATCGAAAAATCGCCTACCACGAGGTACCTGCCCAATCATATTTGTTGTGCACTGTAAACGACAGTGACGGCGCCAGCGTTGGCGACGGCACGTACGGCGGCACGAACGCGCGTAACGAAACGATAAAGTCGACAACCGAATGGACGGGGAGAAAAGTCGAGAGCATGTGGAAATTGCGCCTTTTCGGGTTCGTCGAATTACGCGGTAACGGCGCGGTCGTAACATGTAAGCCTTGTAACATTTATCGCCGAGACGCGCAAACCGACGGCCGACACGAAGATTCCCGGGGACCACGGTGAACACGGGCCGCTAAACGAAATGCGTGCGCGCGGCCGCGCTTCCGTCGACGGCGGTCCCCCGGAGCATTGTACAACGCCGTCGAACCAGACGGGTCCACCGCGATCGAATGCGCGCGACTCCGCGTCGCTGTCGTGTTTTATGAAATGTTTTCGGACTCATGAATACGTGTTTGTTTGCGTGTGAAATTGAATCGGACTCGTAATTTTTTTTTTTTGTGCGGAAATTATTAATTATTTCTAAACTCAAGCTGGAATTTGACGTGTTTCGAACATTTTCCCTCCGAGTCCCTTTCGCACGTTGGGTCCGTTACAGTGTCAACGATATTATATACCCGGGTATTTCGCATTCCTGGGTTTAAATTTATAACCATAAATATGCTACCGGGCGTTCGTTGCATTCGTTTTGCAATTTAGACTTATAACCTTTTGTCCGTGTGTACAATATCAACGGATCACTCTGCCACGCCACCACTGGCTCGACTATCGATGATATCGACCGAGGACGGACGTCAAATAATATAATTTCGCGTTTACGCGGTACACCGGACATATGCAGACGATAAATCGGAGTGACCGGAAATGGACCAGCATTACTGGACAGGACTGTCAAAGTCAACATCTCGAAAAATAGACGATTCGTCCCCGTCGTTAGCGGACGTTTCATGCTCACGGTATTGACCGCGAAACATTTGGTCCCTGGTGTATTATTTAAAACCACTATCGGTCAAATCTAAAATAATATAATATGTGTATACTTACGGTCAAAATAGTTTCACTAATAGTTGAGATTATACCTAAAATAGTTAGGCAAGTAGCTATTTTTTCGTATATTTCAAACTGAATTACAACGAAACAACCAAAATTGAAAATAATAAAACTATTATTTTCGTAAAAATACCCGTTACTTCTAGGTTTCATTTGGTTTTGCTCAATTATTAAAAATAACTATCCGAAAAATTTAAAAACGACTTCCTTCTTCGGCGATAACGTCCAGAATGCTGCAAAAAAGGTCACTTTGCAATTTTCTTTCAAAGCAATATTTCTGATAGAAAATATAATGCGAAAAATTAATAACGATGAAATCGGTGAAATCACGCTGCGGCGTAAATATTTGACGGTTTTCCCATAATTTTGTTTTCCCAGCTATTTTAAAAAAGCTTTTGGGAAATCAAAAGATTACCTCTCTAACGCACCAACTGGACAACATTTCCTTTCATAAATGCCAATGCACCTGACTGCACGTCGGGCATGTTTTCTGTTCGAAAAGTTGTTTACAGACAGAAAAAAAAAACACACACACACACTGTACATTGTAGTAAAACGATTAGATACCCCGGTATACGCTCCGAATGTAAAATCTCGATTCGTTGAATACAAATTGACGGTTTTTTGGATCCATTTTTCAAATCCCCACTGTCGAGTTAAGTGGATACAACTGGAGATGATTCTACAGTTTATTCACGAACCGTAATTATTATTGTTCGCTATATTATATACACCCTCTCCTGTTGAAAATCGCGGACACGCCACTGCTGAACGGATCCGGCGCACCCATTCCTTAATACGGACCGAGCAATTACATTACTGTGTTGTTGTTATTTTTCTCAACGCGCTCCTGTCCGAAATACACGTCGTCGTATATACGCCTAACGAGCAGATTATGTCAGTAACTCTGTGTCTATATACGTGAATTGTTTACAGTACGATTCTTATAATATATGTGTGTTTGTGTATACATAATGCACACGC